ATCGGTAAAAGATATCGGTACAGGATGTTAGTGCTAATTGAATATCATACAGGAAAATAGCTGTGACTCTTTTGCTTAGATAACCTCAAACATGGCAGAGTTGATAGTCTTCATCAGGCACCAAGACAGCAGAAATAGCGATTGATCTTGTCTGTATTCTCAGAATGTCCCGGAATATCCCTCATGGAGTTGGGTAGTCATATTGTTCTGATTGATATCTGAGTGTGGGACACGAAGTGCCTCTATGTATTCAAGCTGATGATAGTGTGCAATGATGCAGGACTGGAATGTAGAGATGTTCTTGCGGTTCAGTGACCAAAGAAAAAGCTGTTGACATCCACCGACGTTAGACAGCAGGTTACATCCCCAGTATAACTGTTTTAATTGGATGAGAAGGGTTTCTAGGATTTCCTCTTGTTCGATTAACATCTAAATTTTGACACACACACACACAAATGATGCCCCAGAACCCACACGGGAAGTCTGGGGCACTGAAACTTGTGGGTTTGGTTTCAGCCTTCGATTTGCAAGCATGCTTGTTGTGGAGATCCCAAAGGGTAATGATTGAGGCACTTTATAGCCATGTGGGATCAAACACGGTACAGTGAAGTCGATCCTCTCCCCATCAAACACATTATTTGTGTTCCCAATATGTTTAGGAAAATTCTTGATCAGTATATATCATTGTAAAGTGCCTTTGCTGAATGTCTGACTGATCCCTGCTTATCAGTGCAGGCTATAAAGGATTTGAGCTCAAGTAAATTATTATTTCCATAAAGAGATAATTGTTTTGGGTATATTTGTTGGAACTGTTCTCATCAGTTGAGAGCATTTTTTCTTCATTTGCTTGTGTGATTTAGTTTGTTGGCTTCAGTATGATTGCTTCGACTATTGGTGCTTGGATGGTTTCTTGCTACCTGCACTTTCCAAAAGAATAATATATGTGCAGCTACCCCAGTTGGTTTGATTGCACATTAGGCATTACCATTTGTGCTCAATCCTTGATACGGCAGCCACCCAAACATACCAGCACGGTTTCGTCTTATAAGAAGTTGGTTATAATGTCTCCTGTCTTGACCTCAAAGATATCATAGATGTGCTTTACCTGGCTTGACTCCCATGTCATATAATCTTGTTAGCATCAGAAAGTCGTCATTATCCACCAGCCTAGTCTGTACAGCATTAATTATTTCAGCTCTGTCTTTGCAGTGATGCATTACTTGCCAGTTGGCCCGTTCTATCCCTGCAGTGATGCATTACTTGCCAGTTGGCCCGTTCTATCCCTGCAGTGGTACATTACTTGCCAGTTGGCCCGTTCTATCCCTGCAGTGGTACATTATTTGCCAGTTGGTCCGTTCTATCCCTGCAGTGGTACATTATTTGCCAGTTGGTCCGTTCTATCCCTGCAGTGGTACATTATTTGCCAGTTGGCCCGTTCTATCCCTGCAGTGGTGCATTATTTGCCAGTTGGCCCGTTCTATCCCTGCAGTGGTACATTATTTGCCAGTTGGTCCGTTCTATCCCTGCAGTGGTGCATTACTTGCCAGTTGGTCCGTTCTATCCCTGCAGTGGTACATTATTTGCCAGTTGGTCTGTTCTATCCCTGCAGTGGTACATTACTTGCCAGTTGGTCCGTTCTATCCCTGCAGTGGTACATTATTTGCCAGTTGGTCCGTTCTATCCCTGCAGTGGTGCATCACTTGCCAGTTGGTCCGTTCTATCCCTGCAGTGGTACATTATTTGCCAGTTGGTCCGTTCTATCCCTGCAGTGGTACATTATTTGCCAGTTGGTCCGTTCTATCCCTGCAGTGGTACATTACTTGCCAGTTGGTCTGTTCTATCCCTGCAGTGATGCATTATTTGCCAGTTGGTCCGTTCTATCCCTGCAGTGGTACATTATTTGCCAGTTGGCCCGTTCTATCCCTGCAGTGATGCATTACTTGCCAGTTGGTCCGTTCTATCCCTGCAGTGATGCATTACTTGCCAGTTGGTCCGTTCTATCCCTGCAGTGATGCATCACTTGCCAGTTGGCCCGTTCTATCCCTGCAGTGGTACATTATTTGCCAGTTGGTCCGTTCTATCCCTGCAGTGATGCATTACTTGCCAGTTGGTCCGTTCTATCCCTGCAGTGATGCATTACTTGCCAGTTGGTCCGTTCTATCCCTGCAGTGATGCATTACTTGCCAGTTGGTCTGTTCTATCCCTGCAGTGGTACATTATTTGCCAGTTGGTCCGTTCTATCCCTGCAGTGATACATTACTTGCCAGTTGGTCCATTTATTCATTACCCCCCTTTTTTTTTACCCTAGCATGCCCAGGTGTGTAGATTCGGGTTAGGGTTTGTGTGTACAAGCTCCAAATGAGTTTACCCATTCAGAGCAGACACTGCATGTTTCAGTTTTCTGAAACAAATTCATGAAAATATAATGTCTACCTTTCATTGATTCAGTTTTGTTATGTTTTCTGTGTTCTAATTGTGGTAGATCTTAGGGTTCCTGTTATTGTTTATGTTACCCAGTTTTGTCATGTCTTTAATTGATCAAAGTCTGGCTTTGTGGCTGTGACCATGAAGTGATGCAGTATGACACTTCCAGTGCATTTTCAAAGTGTGTTTTCATCAGCCCCGTCAACAGTACCTGCCAACTTAAGATACTTATTGTTTGTTTGACTTGTACACAGTTGTCCAGGATTTACAGCATCTTCTCTCACTGTCTACTGATTCTATATGCGTTGTATCAAGTGTACATTTACACAGTTGTCAAGGGTTTACAGCATCTTCTCTCACTGTCTACTGATTCTATATGCGTTGTATCAAGTGTACATTTACACAGTTGTCAAGGGTTTACAGCATCTTCTCTCACTGTCTACTGTTCCTGTATGTTTTGTATCAAGTGTACATTTACACAGTTGTCAAGGATTTACAGCATCTTCTCTCACTGTCTACTGTTCCTGTAAATGTTGTATCAAGGGTACATTTATACAGTTGTCGAGGATTTACAGCATCTTCTCTCACTGTCTACTGTTCCTGTATGTGTTGAAGTGTACATTTATGCAGTTGCCGAGGATTTACAGCATCTTCTCTCACTGTCTACTGTTCCTGTATGTGTTGTATCAAGTGTACATTTACACAGTTGTCGAGGATTTACAGCATCTTCTCTCACTGTCTACTGTTCCTGTATGTGTTGTATCAGGTGTACATTTACACAGTTGTCCAGGATTTACAGCATCTTCTCTAACTGTCTACTGTTCCTGTATGCGTTGTATCAAGGTCCTGAAAGAGTTAGCGGACATTGTGGACCAAACAAGAATGAGGGCTAATGCTAGGGCCAGTTCTATGGTCACCCCTGTGCGCTTCCTCAAGGCTAGGCAGATCTACAAAGGTACGAGAAACAAAATCGCATACTCTCCATCAGTGCTTGGCTGTGCGAGGGACTGGAAGTCAACTTACCTGGTCATCAGAGTTAATCCGGAAGACCGGCATGCGACCTGACATAGTCCTACACTCTGAAGAAAAACGTCAGCTTATCCTGATTGAGCTGACCGTGCCGTATGAGTCGCGAATGGACGAAAGCCATATGTACAAGCTCGAGAAGTACAGTGACTTAGCGGCTGGTCTGAGGAGAGACGAAACGTACACAGTAAGAATCTTCGCCGTCGAGGTAGGCGCAAGAGGTCTTGTTTCCACTTCAATGTACAGTGTGATTAAACAACTAGGCTTACGAGGGAATGAACGTAAACGAGCACTAAAATTACTGGGCGAGGTTGCTGAGAGGGCTTCAAGCTGGCTCTGGACACAACGAAACGTCGTGGGGGACGGGCCTCGGTGAGCTGGTCCGGGTGTTTAGTGGAAAATAATGTCTTATCCCTTAAGGTCCATCGTGTCCGAATTGTCTGCCAGTGTCCCTCTGCTACCTGCCAACAAAGTCCAACTTGAGTCTGGTAAACCAAACGTAAGCTTGCCACTTGGTCGTCCAGGTAAGCTGACTGCTCTAATTATGCTACCGCAACAACTTCGTATCTCACAGTACCTTTTGCAAAATTCCCTGTCCCTGTCCGATAACATCCGGTAATACGTGCAGCTGGAGGAAATCAACCCTGAGCCTCATGAACTCAGGTGGGCCCACTCTCTGAAAATGTCTAGGAGCTCGTGGGCCGAAACATTTGTCGACGAGAGATTACTGCTACTGAAGATTGATAGACTCCAGCTGTACATGCTTCCCTGTGGAGTTTCTTCTTATAATTTATGAATCTTCATTGCGTAGTTATTCATTGAATAGCCGTACAAATTTCAGTCAGTAATGGAAACGTTCAACAGCATCCTATGTGCAGTATATTGCTGGTCACCTTCTGTCACTCCAAACAGTTAAACAACAAAGTAAAGGACCCTTTTCCACGCTTTTAGGCATATAGGGCTAGACCTATATTTTCAGACCTATTGGCACAAGATGGGTGATGTGGTCAGTATCACGCCGACCGCCTTTACTTCCCGGGGCTCCACCTGGTACCCACTCAAGGTTGGGTCGACCTGGGAGCCAGGTCATTTTTGAAAATAGTCCGGCTCTGCCAAGGAGCGAACCCACGACCTTCCGATCCGCGGTGAGTGTCTAGCCGCTCCGCCATGGTGACTCCCACTCCAAACAGTGGCAACACATTACTGACGTTTGGTAGAGTCATACACACAAGTTGGCATTTATACCAGTCATTACTTTCTTCATCTGACTCACTGTTGCCTGCATTTTCCTTGAGAAACCTGATTTTCATGTTCTTTTTGGAGTCTGTACCAGGACTGTTTGGTAGTGACAATACTGATGAGCACATGACCACTGTCACTGTCAGAAAAATATGTCTTTATGGTTTCACAATCTGCTGATTCTGGAATGTTTGATGATTTTGTTTCTAAAGCATTAAACGTAGCTGAATGACTTAGTTGATGTCACCTGCATGAATTTTAAATTACTGTTCCATCAGTTAATGTCTTATTCTTTCAAACATGTTTTTAAGGGTTGCATGGAATACCAGACCATTGAGCATACTTGCTGTCTGAAGCTGGAACACAAGGCAGACAAAAGTGGAATTCAGATGGCGTGCATTGCGTATCGGGAACAAAACGTTCAGCAGCATGCTCCCACAAAGGAAGATCCTGTCAGGATATTACCAGATCACCATGGTGGTTCTACAAATATTGTCCATACAGCTCCGCCGAATCCCATGGAAATCAAACAGGCCATGCAGACTGATTCACATGTCACTCCAGAGATCTGTGAAAAACCTGGCAAGTTGGCCAGTGAAGCTCACCCAGCCGGTTCTGTACAGAGCATGTTTATGGTGACTTTTGATGATTCAGTGTGTAACACACACAGTTGTACTAGCAAAACACTCCAAGACAAGTCAACAGGCACTAGCAGAAACTCACATTCTTCTGGTAAGTTTGTGTGTGTGTGTTTATGTGTGTTTATGTGTGGTTTACTTGTTATCGGAAACCATTTGATTGAATTCTTCTATGAAACGGGGAGAGGAGGGAGGGAGTTGTGGGTGTTAGATTGCTGTTTCACCTAAAACGTAAAGAGGTATGGTTCCCAGCCTAGAGCTCTGATTTATACAGTAAGCACTGGTTTCTTATGATAGTATATGCTCCCAACCTGGCTGCACCCACCCACAAATACAACTAGGGAATTCAATCAGGAAGTCTAGTGTCCATTTTCCTCTCTCATTCTTTTACTCCATCTGTACTCATCTTTCATTCTTTCTAATTCACTCTTTCTTTGTTTCTCCTCTATCTCTGTCTTTTTCCTTTCTCTTCTGTCTCTCTCTCTCTCTCTCTCTCTCTCTCTCTCTCTCTCTCTCTCTCTCTCTCTCTCTCTCTCTCTGCTTCCCCACTTATTTCCATATCACTCTTTCTTTCAAGCTATACATTTTCATTAGGTAATAATTGTACTATTATTAAAAGACCAAAACCTTAAAAAGGTAAAAATGTGGTGGCCCTGAAAAGTGCCTTTGTATCAGAAGACTTATGCTATTCGCTACGGGGAACAGCAACAAATCCTCCGAAAAAGATTTCCTCTGTTCCCCCTATGGGCCGGTGATGGCTTGCCCCCTTCTCTCCCTGCTCTTCTCCGCTTTGACGTCCAGCTAAATAGCGATTTTCGCTTGCTTTTGGGCTTCGCCAGCTCTGGCGTTTCCTCGGGCTCAGTAAAATCTGTTGATGGATGCCCGAAATACTTGAAAAAGGCATTCATGCTGGGCGTCTGGAGATACATGGGACTTGTAAATAGCTCGAAGACTTTCGGCCACCTATCATGAATGGCGGCTACGATGTCTTCAATGTGCCGCTGTCTTAACAGAGCAGGGTTGGTATCTTCTTCACCAGCAGCGTCACTTGTTTCTGTCTCATTCAAGATGACATCAAGAGCCGGCTTGGCTGCCGGCTCAGTAGAAGAAGGTGTTTCCAATGGGAACTTTCTTCTTGTTTGTCGTCTGCTGGTTGAAGAGCTGGGGCATCACCGGACTGCCCATCCTGAAGGATAATTTCAAAATCCTCAGTCTGTGTAGCTGTATCCACCTTGGCTAAATGGTAGCCACTGTCTTTGTCTTTAAAACTTGCCCTTGACTTGCCGGACAGAAGCTTTTTTGTAGACAGGAATAGGTGAAGCATTTCGTCTTCGTCGATAAACTCGCATTCGTAACCTTGCATTTTAATTTCTCAATTGGCAGTCCGCTTAAAAATAACAGGGTGCATCCAACCTTGGATCACAACACCGACGAGTTTGAGTCGATGAATGGATCATGTCCAATAAGCGGACCTCCTAGAGCAGCCGTTCTTCTCAAGATTCTTATGCTCTTATATGCCAGCGGAGCGTAGATAATCACCCAATTATCGCCACATTATCCTGTTCTGAGGCACTCTTGCAGCTTCCCTTGTCGCTCCTTGTTTATTCACCTGTCATCCCCCCCCCCCCACCAACATCCTCCCCTCTCGTTTGTCGTATGACCACTCAGCATTCAATGGTTGATGAAGTGGTCGATAACAACACCGGCTGTCTTTACTTCCCAGGATATTTTCCCATACCATTTGTAGGTTCGGTCAATCTGTTTCAGTTATGACTTCTTCCTTCTCCTCCTCCTCTGCTCCTTCTTTTTCTGCTCCTTTTCCTCCTTCTTATTCTCCTGTCTTCTCCTCTTCCTCTTTTTTTTCTCTCACTTGCTGCATGTGTGGATTACTATGTTTGTTGCATGTAGGAATTACTGTTTGTTGCATGCAGGAATTACTGTTTGTTGCATGTAGGAATTACTGTTTGTTGCATGCAGGAATTACTGTTTGTTGCATGCAGGAATTACTGTTTGTTGCATGCAGGAATTACTGTTTGTTGCATGTAGGAATTACTGTTTGTTGCATGTAGGAATTACTGTTTGTTGCATGTAGGAATTACTGTTTGTTGCATGTAGGAATTACTGTTTGTTGCATGCAGGAATTACTGTTTGTTGCATGTAGGAATTACTGTTTGTTGCATGTAGGAATTACTGTTTGTTGCATGTAGGAATTACTGTTTGTTGCATGTAGGAATTACTGTTTGTTGCATGTAGGAATTACTGTTTGTTGCATGTAGGAATTACTGTTTGTTGCATGCAGGAATTACTGTTTGTTGCATGTAGGAATTACTGTTTGTTGCATGCAGGAATTACTGTTTGTTGCATGCAGGAATTACTGTTTGTTGCATGTAGGAATTACTGTTTGTTGCATGTAGGAATTACTGTTTGTTGCATGCAGGAATTACTGTTTGTTGCATGCAGGAATTACTGTTTGTTGCATGTAGGAATTACTGTTTGTTGCATGCAGGAATTACTGTTTGTTGCATGCAGGAATTACTGTTTGTTGCATGCAGGAATTACTGTTTGTTGCATGTAGGAATTACTGTTTGTTGCATGCAGGAATTACTGTTTGTTGCATGTAGGAATTACTGTTTGTTGCATGCAGGAATTACTGTTTGTTGCATGCAGGAATTACTGTTTGTTGCATGTAGGAATTACTGTTTGTTGCATGCAGGAATTACTGTTTGTTGCATGTATGAATTACTGTTTGTTGCATGTAGGAATTACTGTTTGTTGCATGTAGGAATTACTGTTTGTTGCATGTAGGAATTACTGTTTGTTGCATGTAGGAATTACTGTTTGTTGCATGTAGGAATTACTGTTTATTGCATGTAGGAATTACTGTTTATTGCATGTAGGAATTACTGTTTGTTGCATGTAGTAATTACTGTTTGTTGCATGTAGGAATTACTGTTTGTTGCATGCAGGAATTACTGTTTGTTGCATGTATGAATCGCTATCTTTACCGAATGTCTTTAAGACATGTATGAGTTACTGTCTTTTCGGAATGTATGAATTACTGTCTTGACGGCATGTGTTGTGTGAATTACTGTCTTTCCAGCGTGAATAGATTACTGTTTACTGCATGTATGAATTACTGTTTACTTATCATCATCATGTGCCCTGCCAGCTGGCGTAGGCGCTCATGCGTCTCCGCAGATCACGATCCCTGGTTGCCGGGAACAGCTCCCTTGCTGATATCCCTCCATTCCGAGACCCCTATCTTTACCCGATTCTATATATTAGCAATTCCATTCATCCACAAATATAGCCATCCTTTACCCATCCACGCATCTACCCACCCATCTACATCACCACCTACTCGCCCACTCACCTCAACATTCACCCTAGCTATTCTTCCATTGCTCCCTTACATTCTGTTTTTTAACCAGTTCTACGCTCGGTTCGACTGATACTTTGTATAACAACCACCCTTACTGTCTCTATTTTATAGCTGACAGTAAATGAGAAGTATCGTGTCTTGAGACCCTTGTCTTTAGCTGATTTCATATATCAGCCGATCCATCCATCCACAATCTAATCTATCTATCTATCTATCTATCTATCTATCTATCTATCTATCTATCTATCTATCTATCTATCTATCTATCTATCTATCTATCTGTCTGTCTGTCTGTCTGTCTGTCTGTCTGTCTGTCTGTCTGTCTGTCTGTCTGTCTGTCTGTCTGTCTGTCTATCTGTCTGTCTGTCTGTCTGTCTGTCTGTCTGTCTGTCTGTCTGTCTGTCTGTCTGTCTGTCTGTCTGTCTGTCTGTCTGTCTGTCTGTCTGTCTGCCTGCCTGCCTGCCTGCCTGCCTGCCTGCCTGCCTGCCTGTCTGCTGATATTTGTTTGCAAACACAGGCACCACTTTTATTCCATGGATGGACTAATGTCATCTCCATAACCCAACCCCGGTCACGCCCTATAGGCCAACCCCTCCCTCCTTAGACACTCAGTGTACGCTGTTGGCGTCTAATCTCCCCCTTTTTTCGCCTCTTTTTTTCGCCTCCACCTGCGCGTTGGAGATATAAAGGCTGACCCTATTTCATTGTACGAAGTTTTTTCGCCAGGGACACAGATGAGTATCATTTATTCTATACATTAGAGTCCTATGTAGTCACTTCATAGTTAAAGCATATTTATGTATGTGTACTGTGTTGTCCTTTATGTGCTGATGAAGGCAAATCGCCGCAACGTCCTTTGTTTGTTTATTGTAATCGATTTTGTAAAGCTAACATAAACTGTTTGTTGTTTCTTACCAACTTTTTCTCTTCCCTATAATTTTCTACTCCTTTTAAAAACTCCATTCTGGAGAAGACTGTAGTCTGGTCTGGTAGTCTGGTAGTCTTAGTTTCAGCTTCATAGCAAACGGGTTGCCCCATCTTTGCTCCGCTCCTTTGCCAGCGAAAAACACTCAGAATGTCTATCACAGTCCCTTGTGGAAAGATTGACAGACTGCTGTCTCAGCATATCTAGCATACACTCGCATTAAAGCATACGGTAGCCATCCGAAGTGCTAACACAAACAGATGTTTGACGGTGTTCTGTCCTAGTGTACCATTCTGTTCTCTGCGGACAGGGGAAGCTAAGGCCGCTGTTGACATTGATCACTCTCCCAGTCGGGTGCTGGTCGGTCTACAAATAACATTTATCTGTTGTAGATAAAATGTTGTTGTAGTCTAAGTATATATCTGGACGGTTGCTGGGGATCGCCCGACATCCTGTAGCCCGCAGCTGTTGACCTTTAATTTCCGGAGATCGGACGTTGAATGTTCTGTTTTCTCTCTTGGGCAGAGACTCGGCTGCTCGCCTCCAAGACACATTCTCTCACTTACTTCCCCCGAGTGAGAGGCCACATGTACATCACGTGTAGGGCCGGTTTATGTAGAGATAACACTTTACGGGAACTAGTACTTATCAGCGCACGAGGGAAGGATCTGGAATGAGGAATAAGACAGCTAAAGAAAGAACTTACACACTCGTTTGTTCACTAGCGAATAAAAACGATGCGGATAGGACTACAAGAAAACAAGCGAACGTTTAAATTCTAAGAAAA